TCAGTGTGGTGGGATCAAGGTGGGCACAGTTCCCGCCGTGTGTCTCCAGTGTTGTTCCCCATGGTGCTAAGGGTCAGTGAGGAACATCGTGCCTCATGGTGGGGCCAGCCTAATGGTCCTCTCTGTGCGTTGGCTGCTTTGAGCAGAAATATCCTCAGGGCTTGGTGGGCCACGATGTGCTTCACTCTTTTTTCCTCCCCACTCTTTTGCTCCTGTGTGCTCTGATCAGACACATCCCTCTCCCTGAGCTGTAGCTTCGGTGTTGTCCTCTGAAATGAATTCTTCTAGGGGGAGAGAGGACTGTCCACTTAGTTGGTAATGGGGCTGGCCCCTCAGGCCTCTCTATTGGTTCCCTGCTTCATGTCCGTGTGTTGCTTTCTTGTCTTGGAGCACCGGTTTGAAGTCTGGTCCCTCTTTTCCTGTGGAGATATAAGCAACACCCTCCCGCTGGGTGGGTTAATGCCCTGTTCCCCCAGCTACCCATGTCTTCACCTCCCACACCCCTTTTTAGTTGGCTACCATATGTATCCCTGGGTTTGGTCTGGCCACTGCCATATTACCTGGACCTCACCCCAGAGACGTGTGTATATAGTAGCTCCTTCCCTGTGCCCCTTTTGGATTTTTTGAGCTTACCTCAGCGAAGTCATGCTATACTTGTCATTTTGTGCTTGGCTTACTTTGCTTAGCATAATTTCTTCCAGTTCTTTCCATGTGGCGATGTGCTTCATGCATTCATCTCTGCTTTTTAGGGATGGATAATACTCCATTGTATGTATGTACTACAGTTTTTAATCCATTTGCCTACTGATGGAAATTTAGGTTCTTTTGTGAACTGTGCTGCGATGAACATTGGAGCACAAATGTTTGGCCGTGGTTTGTTTCTGGTCTCTTCTGGGTATATGCCCAGGAGGAGGATTGCTGGGTTGCATGGTAGCTCAATTTCCATCTGTTTTAGATATTGCCAAATTGATTTCCATAGTGGCTGTACATACCTACAGGTCCACCAGCAGTGGACGAGAGTTCCTATCTCTAACAGAGGTCTTTCATAGCAGATCATCCGTCTTATTGATAATGAGGCCCGCGGCATATCACACAGCATTGTGGGTTAGTAACCAAGATGGCCCATTTTGTCCTCTTGAAGCTTGGTCACAGCATTTTTGGTTTGATCTCTTTGTGGCAGTGTTTCCTGAAATGATACAGCACGCTCATATCTCTCTTATCAGTCCACTCATTATACATGTGATTTTGCTACTACCGTTATAAACTTAAAAATTAAAAGCTAAAGAAATATCAGTAACATTACAAGATTATAATCTTGTTTTACAAGCCACCTCAATATTAGCAGACTCACTTTTGCACTGTATTGCTGAGATAATTGCGGGGAGTTGATAAGTAGTTATTCGCAGGGTAATCTGAGGTTTTGGCAGTTGACATGACTGAAACCCAAGCGGACTAATGACAACACTTGAACCAAGAAAAAAAAAAAGAAAATAAAAATTATTATTTTCCCCATTAAGCTTCATGCGTCAAATCACTGACTCTGCCTTGCTGGTAAGGACCAGTTCTTACAAGTGTATCCAATTTCCTGCTAGTAGTAGCTTTAATTCTTCCTAGAACGGCAGGAAACATTAATTTTGCATTAGATCCCAGAGTTTCAGGAAGCAGGAATTATCGGTGCCATTGTCCACGCTCCCCTTCCCACTCCCCAAAATGAAATAAGATGAACAGTAGCCTGGCGAGGAGGTTTGAAGGATGAGTGGTGACAGAGTAGAGAAAAGGACATTAATTTCAGGATGGGACAACTGCCCGGCACCATCTCCCTTTGGATTTCGGTTCTTATAACTACACGATGAGGTATTAATATGTATGATCTGTACTTTATTCGAACATTATAAATCTATGCCGGAGTCTGGTGTTTGGGTTTTCCTTTATAGCTTTCATTCTTCTTCCCAGAATTATCTGATTTTGATCGGGAAACTTTTGCATAAAAAGCGCACACGGAGAACTCCCATTTCCATACCATAAATATTAAAAGGGAGTTACACTTTACAGTTTCTTCTCCCATCCCAGTGGGAGGGGAGTTAGCCTTCTAATCAACGGCCATTAATAAGGTTCCCCTGATTCAGAAGCCAGACGGTAAAACTTAAAATCAGCCCTACAATATGAAACAATGCTGTCTGGTCCTTTTCATCTAGGGAAGTTGCACTGCGCTCGGCTATGCCATGGGCTGTTGGGTTGTTTGGCTTTTCTTGGTGTGAAGGATATACTGAAAATCTAGCAGGTACCTGAATAGTGAAGGATAGTTGGTTAGCTTACTTCTTGAGGATCAAACCAACCTCAGACCTTTTATAAGTGACCAAGTTTTATGCCCCGTCTCATCGCCCGCACTTATGGATTCTTTGCACAGTGGCTTCGTCATGGTGATTCTATAGGATACAGGATCTGGAAGTAGAAAACTCGATATCTCCTTGGTAGCTGGTTCAGCTTCATAGCAGCCTTCTATCTCCGGTTGTCATTTTTGTGTGCGTGAAGCATAAAGGAGTGGTCATAAATTGCGCTTCATATGGAAATACAGAGGAACGTGGAACCCATTTCATTTGGTTTGCTGCCTGCTAATCATGCAGTCTTGCCCCGTTGTACTTTGTGATGGGAAATGAACATGCTAATTGGTGCTTTTTCCCCCCTCTCTCTTTCTAATTTCAGGAAACCTGCCATATGAATATAAAATAGTGATTGCTGGGAACCATGAACTGACATTCGATAAGGAATTCATGGCAGACCTTGTTAAACAGGACTACTACCGTTTCCCCTCTGTGTCCAAATTGAAACCCGAGGACTTTGACAATGTTCAATCCCTCCTGACAAACAGTATTTACTTACAAGATTCGGAGGTAACAGTGAAGGGATTCAGGATATACGGCGCACCTTGGTAAGTGTTCATTCAAGCATTCACCTTCGTTGTTGTTGTTGTGCCCCTAACCCCAGCAGAAAGGAAAGACCGTAAATGAAAATAATGAGAGGAGAATGAAGCCTTACTGCTACATTTTCCAATAACCAATATCTTCTGGTCCTGCTACAAAACAGAGAATCTGCTTTTTTTTTCCCTTTCTATTGGAGTAAAGATTCCATTAGGCAAGCTCCATGCCCATAGGGGTCTGGGGGACATGGGTATGCTAATGTGACAGGAGCTGTGAGTGTACCTGTGTGACTCAGAAGGTGCGGGAGCAGGAGACTCCACCGACCCCTCCCACAGATAGATCATCACAGATCTATCTCACTTCATTCAAGCTTTCTCTGATCTTGCTGCACATCAGAATCCACAATCACCTCAGCAGGTTCCAGAACCCCGTCCTTGGAGCCTTGTATTCAGCTTCCTGGGATGGAGCCCAATACTGGATTTTCTTAAATAGTCGCTCATGTGAGGCAGATGCACAGGCAGTTTGGAAGTCAAGGACCTCGTACTGGAAATCTCAGAACTGTGCTCTAGAAAACATTCACACAGACACCTTCCTTTTGGGGCCAAAAGAGACAGCATTTTAAGTTTGGCCTGAACACGTGTTGGTTGTCTGATTGTGGAGAAACTATGTCAGTCAGCTGAAACCTCATTCTCTGAATCTCTAAGGTGAAGAAAATAATGCCTACGGTAGGAAGTTAGGATGAGGATTAAATCAGGTGAAGTATGCAAGGGGTTAGAGAATACCTGGTCTGTTGCTTACCGTTATTTCTTGGCGTGGGTCTGCTACGTACTTTTGTGAGCGTGGGAAAGTCACTTAGTGTCTCAACCCGGCGTCTTTCTCTGTGAATGGAAGGGTTACACCGGAAGAGCCTCTGTGTTAGGGGATTCCAGAACTGTAGTGTTTCTTTTTCTTATGGGCTCTTTGTGTAGAGAAAGTAGAAGGTCTACCTCAGGGGTCCTCAAAGTACAGCCCACCAAGGACATTTATCCAGCCCGCCACTTCAACATAAGATATGTGCAGTGTTCATAGGAATTTGTTCATAGTTTTTTTTTAAACTATAGTCCGGCCCTCCAACGGTCTTAGGGACAGTGAACTGGCCCCCTGTTTAAAAAGTTTGAGGACCCCTGGTCTATCTTTCACTCATTCTATCTGGAAAAGAATCATGCTGTGCTCCAGGACAAGGCTTGAAGAAGATCAGTAGAGTGAATTCAGAATGGCCGCCTCACTCCAAAATTTGGTTTATCTGACTAAGTTGAGATACTGTCTGTAAATATTTTTGTCCTTACTCATTGGTATTCAGAAGGACTGGTCGATGATGGGTACAGGGAGTGTAGCTTTCTGTTTAAGGTCAACCTGACAATGAATGTGAACTATAAGTGGGGTGCTTGTGCAATATGCTAGGCACAGTTCTAACTCCTTTATATCTATTAGCTTATTTACTACCCAGAACCCCTTTAGGAGATAGGAACAATTCTTATTTCCATTTGACAAATTAGGAATTTCATGCACAAAGTATCACTACCTAAGAATTACCCAAAGCGGAGGGACATCAGCATTTGAACCCTCAGAGTAAGACTCCACAGTGCGTGGTATGGCTCCGCGGCCGTGGTGGTGTGGCCATCAGTCATTATTATCTTCAGATCCAGTTTATATAAGCTTTATGAATGCATATGAACTTGGTTTAATATGTAGAAGGTCATCAAAGGCAAGACTGGACAGTAAGCTTAGTCTCCTCAAGCAGTTACCTGAAAATTGTTTGAGGGTACTGCTGCTGTTTTTGTTGGGTGCATTTGAGTTGTCCCCAACTCAGCGCGACCTAATTACAACAGAACTAAACACGGGTGACGTCCCCCCTCACAATTGCTGCTTTTGAGCCCATCTTTGCAGCCACTGTGGTCAGTCCATCCCGTGGTTTGGATTCTTCCTCTGTTTTACCAGCATGATGTCCTTGTCCCAAGGACTGGGCTCTCCTGAGGACATGTCCAAGGTTTGTGAGAAGAAGTGCTGCCCCATCCCTTTTAAGTAGCATTCCAGCTTCCTCTGAGACACATCCATTTATTTGTCGAGCAGTCCTTGGTGTTTTCGCCAACACCACAGTTCAAAGGCATCGGTTCTCAGTTCTTCCTCGTTTATTGTCCAGCTTTCACGTGCATAGGGCGCACTTGAAAATACCATGGGTCGGTCTGGTGCACTTCAGTCTGCAGAGTGACCGCTCGGCTTCTTAACACCGCACTGAGGTCTTCCCAGTCGGTTTGCCTAATCCAATAGGCTGTGTGATTAGTTGACTGCTGCTTCCATGAACTTGGCCGTGGCTCCAAGCACAGTGAAATCCTTGGCAACTCCCATCATTGCTCCACTGGCCGTCATGTGGTTTCTTGGTCCGCGTGTGAGGAGTTGGGGTTTTCTTTGCACTGAGTTCTGATCCATACGGAAGGCTTTGATTTTCACTAATAAGTGCTTCCGGCCCTTTTGGCTTTCAACAAGCAAGGTAGTGCCAACTGCTTATGACAAGTTGTTAATGAACCTTCCTCTAATATCGATGCTTTATAGCTCAGTTTCTTGGAGTATTTGCTCAGTATACCAGTCAAATAAGTATGTACAATATTCATATTAGCATTTCTGGGTGAAAGGTAGGGGAGAGAGGATGGCTGTAGCTTCACAGCCTACCTTGTAATGAAAAGGCCGCCATTGAGGCTTGGCCTCTGATGGACAGAGAAGCTCTCTATGTGAGTTAAGATCTCCCCCCGCCCTCATTGAGGCATGGCCTCTGATGGACAGAGAAGCTCTCTATATGAGTTAAGATCTCCCCCCACCCAAAGACATTAAAATGTTTTCTGAAAAATCTTCGAAGGGCACAGACTATTGATGGCTGTTCTTGAACAAGCAGGACTTTCAGAGATCCCTGGATTGATAGTTGCTGAAATGATGACAGCAGAGAAACTCCCTCCTTTATCTGAGCAGATTCAAATCAGCTCAGGGCAGAGTGTAGCTAAACCTGATGAGAGCTGTGATGCATTGTGGGGGAGGGGTGACTTGGGGTCCCATCGCCTATCCTGCAGCATCTCAAGAACACATGTGATGACACAGGGTGTGATCCGTTGATGCTGCTGCTGCAGGAAACTGTAGATGTGACTTAAATCTGAACTCAATTGGATTATCCCATAACATTTTAATTTTAATATTAGAGGGGATGGTCAAAAGCAGCATTAATTAGCTTTCTCAAATATTATCTTGAAATTGCTTTTACAGGTGTAGTTTGGATCTCCCTGTGAAGATATTTGATTAAAATTAATATTCCCAAGACTGCTGGCCATTTGAACATTGATTTAGGAATGTCTACATTAGCATGCCCGTGAAGTGAGGGCAATAGAGATGTTCCCCAGCCCTACTTTCAGGAGACCCGGAGTTGTGAATGGGTTTCTGAATCCTCTCTGTGCCTGTTTTCCCACCTGTAAAATGGGAAATGACAACACTGATGGTTCCCAATGCAGGACTAATTTGAGGATTAAATGATGAGGCTGCTAACTGCAAGATCAGCAGTTCGAAACCACCAGCCAACACCACCGTAGAAAGACAAGGCTTTCTACTCCCATAAAAAGTTACAATCTCATAAACTCATGGAGGCAGTTCGACCCAGTGCAATAAGGTCACTGTCAGTCAGAATTGACTTGATGGCTGTACGTTTTTGGTTTTTAAAATATCAGTGTCCCACAGATGCATTCCATGCAGAGAGAGAGCACTTGAAAACTGGAAGTGATTTACAGGAATAACAGGAGACTTGGTGCTTCCAACCCCCTTCATATCTTTGTTCACCTTCAAGATGGGCGGTTGTACTGCTATGCTGACTTTGCTGATTGGGGGAATCACTTCAATTCTGCCACGATCTCTTTTGGAAAGCCTGAGGTCTTCCCATGTGCATCAGAGGAAGACTCTCCTCCACATCAGTGGAGGATGTTTACAGAAGTAGCTCTTTAGGCCTTTCTTCCAAGGTACCTTTGGGTGGACTGGAACCACCGACCTTTTAGTAAGTAGCTCAGCACTTAACCTTTTGTCACTCCCCAGGGATCCAACCTTGCCTCAGGAGGCCTTAAAGCAGGACTCGAGGCTTCTGTCCATGTTCTGCTGTCCTCCGGTTCGTCCCGGAATCACGGAGAAAAGACCCGGCGTGTTACCTTGTCTTCTTTGGGAGTCAGAGCTCTGCCCACAGTGGCTTTATGTAACTTCTCTCTCTCTTTTTTCTCTCTACTTCTTTTCAGAGTAAAAGATGAGGCGCCTGTGTTGCCAGGCAGGTTTTCTTAGATCCCTGGCCTTGGTTTTCTGTCACCAAGGTGGTTCTACCTTCCTTTCTGAATTCTCAGTCCAGTAAGGTCTCTTCCACAGGCTGAAGGAGCATGGTGAGAGAAGAGGCAAAACTCGGACCTGTCCCATGGTAACCAATCCAATAACTATTGGTCTCATCTTTGCATTTTTGCTTACCTAGAACAGGATGAAGAGCTCTGGTGACGGAGGGGTTTGTAGGTTAGACTGCTAACCTCAAAGTCAGCAGTTCAAACACACCATTGATTTCATGGGAGAAAGATGAAGCTTTCTGCCACCTTCCAGGCCTTCTCTGGCCCTCCAGGGTTGCTGGGAGCCGGAAGTGATTCAGTGGCAGTGTGTACAGTAGTATGGAGCTGAACTGGTAGCCAGCAACGTAGTGCACCCAATTTTCAGGTAGATTCACTGGTGAGAGGTGGCATTTAAAAATTGGCTAACCTTTTGCATTTCCCCCGGATTTTACTGGTGCTTCGGCTACTCAGATAGTGCGTGTGTACAAAAGAAACCGGAGGAATAACTGATCGACAGCCAAGCTGCAAGAAGTAAAAGTGTGCACTGCCCCGACCAGAGCCAGGCAGTTGTAGTGTTCAGCCATCGCCCGCGCCTTGTTCTGAACAGAAATGCACAGCTGGTCTCCCGTGGCTTTTAATGAATA